CTGGGTGACAGAACTGACTAAACAAAGACAATCTGACATGGGGCCAACGTAACCCCTACGTTTTGCAAGGTGCAGCATCCATGCTTCTGCAGCCTGTTGCCATCCATGTTACTTCCACCATCCAGCCAGCGTGGAAAGGCAGGCCACCCTCAGCCAGGGACAGAAGAGGAAAGGACAAACTTCACAGTGGGTATGTGGGTGTGGAGACACACATCTTTTTGCTTTTCAGGGCATGAGGTGTTCTTTCTAAAACCATGCAGGTGGGTGCACTGTTAAGCAGCTTCCCTGCAGAGGCTGGCGTGTGGGATCAGCAGCGTGGCTCCCGAGGACAGCGAGCACAGCTCTGCACTAGGGCACTCTGGCTAATCAACTGAAAACATAAGCCAATACCAGCTTAATGGGAAAACTGTCTCTGCATATGTTGCATAATTTTTGTATTATTGAACCAACTAGGAATAGTTTAATCAACAAAGCCAGCAGGAAATCTTCAAATAGCATGAGGGTGAAGAGGCAGGCACTTGTTTGCTGATTAATTTTGTGTGTGCTCAAGCCTCTCAGGTTTCCTGTCCCGAACAGGGCTTTCCACTTCTTGTTGGGCAACATCTTCATTTTCTCTAGGAGGAGTTTCTGTGGTCAGCTGGGGGCTAACAGCGTGTGGCTACATCCACCACTCTCACCTGCATGCTTCCTTTGTGACCAGCTGCATTACAGGAGCTGTTGCTCAGTCAACTTGGATCTCACTAACAACAACCACAGCATCATTTGGACATGTATTTTCTGTTCAGGACTGAGGATTTTTTCTGGAGTAGTTTTCTGACCCAGCTGCGACTGATTTATAGAAAAGATTAAATCTGAAGGCATGAGACATGCTTGCACTCTCCCATGAGAAATCTTGCACGAGAAGAAAACCATTTTTAAATCCTACTGTACATTATTGATCTATTTCTATGCTTAAGTCAATGGTCAATATGTTTGGATTTTGAAATACTTCCTCTAAATACCTGAGTTTGTTCCCATTCTAGCCCTTTATTGGGCAGTGATCCTTTTTTGTTATACACACTGGACATGAGGAGTGCCAGGAAACTGCAATCCATGGCCTGGCTTGTTTATCCTGTTGTCTCATCTCTGCTTTCTAGGTAACTCAGGTGTAAAATCTTCAGGGCCAAGACATGCTCTGATATCTACACCCAAAATTCCGTAAGCTTTGAGACAGCTTGGAGTCCAGAGACAAAACATTTATAATTCCTAAAATTATAAAAACCTTACATATTCTCCTATGACAGCTTGAAACTAGGAATGAACTGTTAACATGTTAATTAATAACACGTGGTTCAACAGACAAGCCAACACATCCTGATGATACCCGAGTTCAGATCAGGCCTTGGCACAATCAGGGGCAACCTGTCTGAACCCTGAAAGGAGACAATACACTGGAGGAGATGGAGTACTTCAGAGATTTGCTTTTGATCCAGCCATCTACAATTGTGATAAAACTTCTATTTTTCAGTTCTTATACGCAGAATATATACTCCTTATTGTTGCATATTTTGTTAAAATCCACCAACTTGGTTTGACTCCAGAGTTTTGCTTTTAGAAAGACACTTGCACAAACTGAGACACCAAAATTAATTTCTAGAAACAACTAATGAGTTTCTTTTAGTTCTAGTATTTCACATTCCATTTCTGCCTTTGCTTCTTTTAGAAATTAATACATGTTCTTAAACAATTATCTTAAACGAAACAAATGGAAAGAAATGTAAAAATTGTTGTTATGGGGATACAACTAGAATTCTGTAAAGGAGTTATGTGCTGTAAATGACTCATACTCACCCCTGTGTATCCTTTTGAAATATGTTAAATCATTTTTTGAGACTTCTGCAATGTGTAATGTATTCACCTTTATTCCACATAACATTCAGATGCAATGTTGGAGATTTAAAAAAAAATTAATTTTATTTAGTTTTTCTATACACCTCTGTTCAGAGGAAGAGTTCCTAATATTAAAAAAGTCATAATTGCTAAGTTTAACTGATAGATTGGCAGCTGGCATAAACTTTTAACTAAATTGTGTTGAGTAATGCTGATAGACAGGTTGCAAATACCATACAGATACTAAAAGGAACTAAAACATCTAATGCTAAAACTACAATGGATTCCTTAAAACACAAGGTCAATCTAAACACTTTCATAAACAGCTCTTTCAACCTAAGATTATGAGAAATGCAAACATGAGAAATTATTTTAAGATGGTTTTGTAAAGCCTTTTAGATAAGACAAACAAAAGTAGACTATAAAGAGTCCAGTTCTTCTTCCCTGATGGACAAATCTTCCCTGGCCTTCAAGGAGTTCCTTCCTGGCTGTACATTCAGGGTAACTTCTGAAGATGTTTCATAACTGTATTTTAACTCCTAATCAATAATTAATTTATTTAATTTTTACTACAAAGTTCATTTTAAAATAAGAATATATGTTCTCTTTTTCCTCTGAACTTGACACCAGAGCTTTTGCTAAAAAACAGAACTTAAAATCCCATTTTTAGTAACTTGCTGCCGAAGGCAGATACTGCTGATTGCACAAACCCAGATACAAATGAGCAATGAGGAATTCAACTTCTAGGTACACTAAAGCTAAATGAATTCATTTTTTAAAAAGAAAACCAAACAGCTTGTAGGAAGCAAGTCACTGGTAAACAAAAGAAACCACAAAAGCAATAAAGAACATCATAAACCTATTAACATTACACAGAATAAAATGTTCATGGATAACCTCCATTCCAAAGTAAAAATGATTTGCCAAAATATTAACAACAAGTAGTAAAAGGCAGCCTTGCATTAAAGGCAGAGCTGGAACAAAGCACACTTTGGGTGAACACACACAGACAGATGTCTCCTGCTCGATCGCGCCTTTACTATTTGGTGACGTGAAGCCGGCTGCAGTACTTCGATGCCAGTCCCACTGCCCTGCCTCTGCTCCCAATAGCCACCTCTTTCTCACAGCTCCCATCACCAGCAGCAGCAAGCAACTTCCAAGCACCCAAAGTAAACCAGCTATCAAATTCCCTGTTGCCCCTAGAGCAGCGCATGATTTCATTTTGAGGGGGGGAGGCTGAGGCATTTACTGCATTTTATTTCATTCTGATGGTTTCCTGGGGAAGTAAAGGGATCCTTGGTGGTGACCAGTGCCTGATCTTCTAGACAGGTCTCAGGATACCCACATAAGCATGCTCTTGTTCTAGTGGGTGACATGTTCACAGATGACAAGAATACAAGCATTTTCTCTTTAACACAATTTAAATTAAAGCTCCAAGTGAACGCCATGGAGGGAAGAGCAGCA